CATGGATGAACGACTTTGGGATGGAGGAACTTGACTGGCCTGCACAGTGTCCTGACCTCAACCCGAAAGAACACTTTTGGGGTGAATTACAGCAGAGACTGTGAGCCAGGCCTTTCTCGGTCAAAACATCAGTGCCTGACCTCACAATGTGCTTCTGGAAGAATGGTCAAACCTTCCCATAGACACCCTCCTAAACCTTGTGGACGGCCTTCCCAGAAGCGTTGAAACTTTTATAGCTGCAAAGGGCGGGCCAACTCAATATTGAACCCTACGGACTAAGACTGGGATGCCAATAAGTTCATGTGTGTGTAAAGGCAGGCCAACCAATACTTTCAAAACAAAATCAAAAACTGGTGTCCAAACAAACAAAATAAAATATACAAAAACAATAACCCTAAAGATTGACACTCAAAAAGTCACACTTTCACCCTTGAAAGTCTAAAATTGAATAATAAAACCCTCTTAGTGACAGTGAATCTTCTCAATTCTTTTTTTCTTCAATATAGTTATCCAAAATGTCGAATTCCACCGTTGTTGTGTACCTCCAAAAAATATATATAATTAACTGGATAGTGTATTATCCTCAATATTTAAATGATCATAACATATTAAATACAAAATGAATTGCCAATATGTAAAAAAACTGTGAAACACGTGACAAAGTGAAAACACCTCGTGAGCACTTCTATGTAACTAGAGTAAATACTCTTATCCTAAATAAAAAAAGAAAAATATAAAAAATAAAAAATAAAATAAAAAAATGGTCCCAATACTTTTGGCAATATAGTATATATATACAGTTGCAAGAAAAAGTATGTGAACCCCTTGGGATTACGTGGAGTTTTTGCATGAATTGGGCATAAAATGTGCTCTGAACGTCATCTAAGTCACAACAATAGAAGAACACAGTCTGCTGAACATAATACTACACAAACATTAGATGTTGCCATGGTTTAATTGCACATAACATGTAAACATTCACAGTGCAGGGAGGAAAAAGTATATGAGGCCCCTAGCTTAATGAGTTCTCCCAGGGCTAATTGGAGCCAGGAGTGAGCCAACCTTGACTCCAATCAGTGTGATGATATTGGATGTGTTGCTGACAGCTGTCCTGCCCTTAAAAAACACACACCTGTTTTGGGTTTACTGGTTTCAAGTAAGCACTGTCTGATGTGAACCATGCCTCGCAGAAAAGAGCTCTCAGAAGACCTACGATCAAGAATTGTTGACTTGCATGAAGCCTGGAAAGGGTTACAAAAGTATCTCCAAAAGCCTTGAATGTTCATGTGTCCACGGTAAGACAGACTGTCTACAAATGGAGAAAGTTTAGCACTGTTGCTACTCTCCCTAGGCGTGGTCGTTCCTGTAAAAAATGACTGCAAGAGCACAGCGCAGAATGCTGCATGAGCTAAAGAAGAATCCCAGAGTGTCAGCTAAAGACCTAGAGAAATCTCTGGGCACATGCTAACTTTTTGTTGACACATCTACAATAAGGAAAACATTAAAGAAGAATGGAGTACATGGGAGGACACCACGGAGGAAGCCATTGCTGTCCAAAAAGAATATTGCAGCACGTTTGAAGTTTGCAAAAGAGCACCTGGATGTTCCACAACACTACTGGCAAAATATACTGTGGACAGATGAAACCAAGATTGAGTTGTTTGGGAAAGAACACACAACACTATGTGTTGAGAAAAAAAAGGCACAGCACACCAACATCAAACCTCATCCCCACTGTAAAACATGGCGGAGGGAGCATCATGGTTTGGGGCTGCTTCGCTGCCTCAGGACCTGGACGGATTGTTGTCATTGATGGGAAAATGAATTCCAGAGTTTATCAAGACATTTTGCAGGAAAACGTATGACCATCTGTCCGCCAACTGAAGCTCCGCAGAGGATGGGTGGGTGATGCAACAGGACAATGACCCAAAGCATACAAGTAATTCAACAAAACAATGGCTGCAACAGCACAGAATACGCCTTCTGGAGTGGCCCAGTCAGAGTCCTGAATCCCAAGAATATTGCTACACTGAAACAGTTTTGTGAAGAGGAGTGGTCCAAAATTACTCTAGATCGTTGTGCAGGTCTGATCTGCAACTACAGGAAACGTTTGGTTGAGGTTACTGCTGCCAAAGGAGGGTCAACCAGTTATTAAGTCCAAAGGTTCACATACTTTTTCCTCCCTGCACTGTGAATGTTTACATGTTATGTGCAATTAAACCATGGCAACAGCTAATGTTTGTGTAGTAATATGTTCAGCAGACTGTGTTCTTCTATTGTAGTGACTTAGATGACGTTCAGAGCACATTTTATGCCCAATTCATGCAAAACTCCACGTAATCCCAAGGGGTTCACATACTTTTTCTTGCAACTGTATATATATATATATATATATATATATATATATATATATATACATACAGTATATATATATATATTTTTTTTTTTTAATATTTATATATATATATATATATATATATATATATGTTAGATAGCATCTGCCAAGTCTTTTGTATAAAGTTAAAACAACTTTTTATTAGAAACATATCATAAAAGAGCCTTATCATGGTGGATTTTGCTTTTCTAAAGTAGTCGGCCAGGATAATGACTCTGTGATTAGCACTTGCAATAAATGTCCCTTTATTGAAGGAATTCATTAAACTTTCACACTTTTTCTTGAAGCAGATGGAGTTGTAAGTTATTTTTTGGTGACGGTATCATCCAATAACAGCTCTATTCACCAGTAAAATTATAGATTTCCAGTCTGAATTCTTATCATACATATGTCAACATTACTCAGGACACTGATAAATGAGATTCACTGCCTGTATGACAAACAGCACTGGACAGCAAAGGTTTTGTTTCCTGAACACCTTTATCATCTTATAGATTTTTGGCTGCTAATCAAGAAAATAACGTGTAATTTTTTCTATAATATTTCTTTTTATAGATATTTTCTGTTTTTTTGCAATTTGCAATACCTGTTAGCTATGCTGCACACATAAAAGAAAAAATACAAAAACTTGGAACTGTTGTTGAAGCACATCCAGTACACCAAGTAGAACTGGAATATCTGTGGAAATGTAAAAGTAGTGGCTCTGCTGTTTGGAATGAGAAATGAATGGATTATACTTATGTGAATGAGACAGCTGTGCAACAGTCCCATTAAATTAAAAAGAAATGGCCACCCACCCCCAAAAAAATGTTGTACTGGAACCAGGGGCGGACTGACCATTTTGGAAACTCAGGCACTGCCCCGAAGACCCGGGGTCAGTAGGGGGCCCCATGAGATGCCCCTGGTACCTTTTTCATAGGCTTTTTTGAGTTTGGGCAAGGACACAGGGGCCCCATGATTCCCTGTTGCTCGGGGGCCCATGAGTTGTCAATCCGCCCCCGACTGGGACACAAAAGTGTGGCACATGAAACACTTGTTGACCCCAAAAAAATATTTTTGCCTCTGTTTCACATAAAACTCAGATTGTTGAAAAACTTTGTGAAAGCCATGAACAAGGAAGGCAAAGGTTGTTGTTATTTGAAAGAGATGTTCCCTTTTAAAATGATACCAACATTAAAGTGGAATTCCAGGATATTACTAAGGCCGGCCATACAACAATGTCAATTTCTGAACAATTTTTTCGTTCGAAAATCAGACCTAAGAATAATCGGCCGATTTTTGCTCTGTGAGTGGGGCAATGGTTACTGGCTGATTTTCGTGGTTCCTCCCCATTTTATTTATTGGGCATGCTTAAATATTTGTGAAAAACGACGACTTTTCTAAAATCTTTGGTTGGTACCATCGGATTACAGAGCGAAAGATTGTTTTCAATTTTCGATCAAAAACTCGTTCGGAATTCGACCCATATATGGCCTGCATTAGTATGCTTAAACCAACTTTATTTATTTTTATTATTATACAGGATTTATATAGCGCCAACAGTTTGCTCAGCGCTTTAACCCAACCCTCCCCCCCCTTTCAAAATCCTCATCTACCTACTCTGTAAAAGGAAGATGCGTATACTTACCTATTTTCAGGGCACTCCAGTCCATTCACTGGTCTCCCTTGCAGCCGGCTTCAGCAGGGGAAAGGAAAGATGAGCTGTGACAATGGCTGTAATGCCTGGTCAGTGATGCGACCCATAGGCTTACTATCAGGGCTGACTGACAACTCATGGGACCCCTGGGCAATAGGGGATCATGGGGCCCCTGTGTCCTTGCCCAAACTCAAAAAAAGCCTATGAAAAAGGTACCAGGGGGCATCTCATGGGGCCCCCTACTGACCCCGGGCCCTCGGGCAGTGCCCTAGTTTCCAAATGGTCAGTGCGCCCCTGCTTACTATGGGGCAATTCGTTGTCAGCTGCATACTACAATAACTGGTGCAGCACTTTTAACTACCAAATATAAAGAAATAAAAAATTAAATGTGCAAAATACACCAGTGCTAACTTCGTATCTATATACAATAAAAGCAATAAGACTATACATTCACCGGCCCCTTTATTAGGTACACCTCTTCAATTGCTTGGTAACACAAATTACTAATCAGCCAATCATATGGCAGCAACTTAATGCATTTAGGCATGTAGACGTGGTGAAGACGACTTACTGAAGTTCAGTCTAGACCAGGGGTCTCCAAACTATGGCCCTCCAGCTGTTGAAGTACTGCAAGTCCCATAATGCCTGTGCCTCTGGAAGCCACTGTCAGAGTTCTTCTGCAAGGGCCTCATGGGACTTGCAGTTCCTCAACACCTGGAGGGCCATAGTTTGGAGACTTGGTGAAAATGACTTGCTGAAGTTCAAACTGAGCATCAGAATGGGGAAGAAAGGGGATTAAAGTGACTTTGGCATGGTTGTTGGTGTTAGGCAGGCTGGTCTGAGTATTTCAAAAACTGCTGATCCACTAGGATTTTCACGAATAGCCATCTCTAGAGTTTACAAAGAATGGTCCGAAAAAGAGAAAATATCCAGTGAAGTGAACGGCAGTTGTGTAGAGGAAAATGCCTTGTTGATGTCAGAGGTCAGAGGAGAGAGAATGGGCAGACTGGTTGCTGCGGACATTTAGATGGTAGGGTGTCAGAATTTGGCGTAAACAACATGAAAGCATGGATCCATCCTGCCTTGTATCAACGGTTCAGGCTGGTGGTGGTGGTGGCGTCATAGTGTTGGGGATATTTTCTTGGCACATTTTTCATGTAAGAAAAATATATTTTAAATATATTTTAAACTATTCTTCCCAAATATATTGATAATATATATTTGATATATACTACAATTTTGGCCGTATTCAATATATTTCAAAATGTATTGCAATAAAAAAAAACCATATATATATATATATAATATTATACTGTATGTTGAAATTCATTTTTATTAGAAAATATATGAAAAAAATATTTTAAAAATACATTTTTCAAATATACTGTATGTCTCAAAATACATTTAATCTACATTTTTGGAATACACAAATAGTCAAAAATCCTCCTGCGCTATGAGATGGAAGTACAAAACCTATTCTACAGCCGCCAACACTCAAGAACTGATACCAAAACAGTGTCAATAAATCATAAAAAAACAGTGTAGCGCTCTTAAAGAACTGTGTCTAATACACAATATTAATTCCTAAAAATAAATAAAATCAATATAAAAATAATATAATATACAATAGTGACAAAAAATAAGTGCCAAACTAAGATTCCAAAAAGAAATCTATCACCCATTTGAGAAAATACGTGTACCGACATATAAATAATATGTGACTACTATTTCACACAAACATATGGATAGTGTACACACATCTACTAAAATTAAGTCAAAAAATCAAAACGTAATCCAATAAGGGAACTCTTAGCAGTGCTCACACAGTGCCAAAAAATGAAAATTTGTAAATGTGTCCCTCCTTGATGAAAGACAATCTTAAACAATGTCCTTTTGTGGAAATGAATAAAATCATGCAGTGTGCAACAGTGATAATTAAATAAATCCCTGACTGTGCCAAACTCTTCTCCTGTTAACGGCTAAATTGCCTCCTCACCTCCTCCTAATGACCCCAAAGGGGCCAACAGGCTTGCAGGATCACCCTGGATCCTTGATTTATAGTGGCCAGCAGTTTCCTTCCTTCCCTGGATCTCCTTTGTGGGGCTCCTAGTGCCCCTGATCAGTCAAGGTGGTTCTGGAGGATAATAGCTCACCAATCCAGTGAGCCAAGAAAAACCTCTAAGTGCAGTACTTTAGTAAACTTTGTTTATTCAAAAGAGTAAAGAGTATCACTCACATTACAAGCAGTCCTCCCTCCTCACTGATGTGTGGTGGGTATACTGCATGTGAATTGGGACTTCCTGGGTGTAGCAAAATGGCGTCGCACGCCGGAAGTGCGTCACCACGCACCGGAACTACGGACTCGCGAACCTACGCGTTACGTCACCGTCTGCTCGTGACTTCCTCGGAATGTATTTACAAATATATGTTAAAATGACTTTTTTATATGTTGAAAAAATCTGAAGAATATATTTTAAAAATATATATTTTAAAAAATATTTTTAAATTTATTTTGTAATATTATTAGGGGGTATTATGAGTTCAATGTAAGATTTACACTGATTTGTTAGTCTGGATATTAGTGATACACAAGGAGACTGCAGGGATGAGCCATATTAGGTTGGATTCCAATTACTATTGCTAATTAAAGCAATCAAAGAAATGCTTGTTTGACATTGCCCAATTCCACTATATACAATCCCGCTGGAAGTTTGGTAACTTCTAGCACAACATAACTTCTGCTCTGCAATTAATAAGAATACAGTAAATAGTTCAATTCCTAATCACCTGGATTTTAAAGACATGAAAGGGAAGTTAGAGTACATCTACAGCAGCCTTGCTCAACCTTCTTTATACATAGGGAACCCCTGATAAAACTCCATCCTATGCTCCCTCACTCACATCTTCAATCTCTCCCTCTCTAACGGTGCCTTCCCCCCCCCTCTAAAGCATGCACACATCACTCCCATACTTACAAAGCCCTCCCTGGACCCCACCAACCTGAACAACTTAAGACCCATCTCCCTTCTCCCGTTTACCTCTAAAAACTCTTAGAACGCTTAGTCTACATACGCCTGAGCTCCTACCTCACTGACAACAACCTTCTTGACCCCTTACAGTCTGGCTTTCACTCACTACACTGCACTGATAATTCCCTACTAAAACTCACTAATGATCTACTAACAGCTAAAACCAATGGCCACTACTCCTTACTCTTACTACTTGACCTCTCTTTTGATACTGTTGACCAATCTCCTCCTCCTCGAAAAACTTCACTCTCTTGGTCTCCGCGACTCTGCTCTCTCCTGATTCTCCTCCTACCTATTGCAGTGCTCCTTCAGTGTTACCTATAACTCAGTCTCCTCCTCTACACTGCCTCTTTCTGTAGGGGTCCCTCAAGGTTCTGTCCTTGGATCCCTTCTCTTCTCCAGCTACACCTCCTCCCTTGGTCACTTGATAAACTCCCATGGCTTTAAGTACCATCTCTATGCTAATGACACACAAATCTATCTTATTATCCCTCACCTCACCCCTTCAGTCTCCTCTCGCATTACTAACCTACTAAGTGACATATCGGCATGGATGTCACTCCACTTCCTCAAACTCAATCTTTCCAAAACTGAGCTCTTAGTATTCCCTCCAGCCCTCCCCTGACTTCTTCATCAAGATCAAAAATACAATCATCAGTTCCTCCCCTCATGCCAGGATACTAGGTGTAATCCTAGACTCCCATATGTTTTTACAGCCCCAAATCCAATCGCTGTCCAAATCATGTAGAGTTCACCTCCGCAACATCTCCAAGATACGCCCGTTCCTAACCTTGGAAACCACTAAGCAAACTTATTCACTCCCTTGTTATCTCTCACCTTGACTATTGTAACTCCCTCCTCATTGGCCGACCTCATCGCTGGCTATCCCCTCTTCAGTCTATCATGAATGCTGCTGCCAGACTCATCCACCTTACTGACCGTTCTGTATCTGCCACCCCTCTCTGCCAATCCCTCCACTGGCTTCCCATCGCCCAACGAATAAAATTCAAAAACATTAACAATAACATATAAAGCCATTTATAACTCTGCCCCAAATTACATCACCGATCTTGTCTCCAAATATCACCCAAACCATCCTCTCTGCTCCTCCCACAACCTCTAGCTCCCTTGTCTCCTCCTCCTATGCTTAGCTCCAGGACCTCTCTAGAGCCTCCCCCATCATCTGGAACTCTCTACCTCAATCTATCAGACTATCGCCAACTCTGTACATTTTTAAGCGATCTCTGAAAACCTATATCTTCAGAGAAGCCTATCCTGCTGTCAGCTAATAATGGAATCTTCTATTCCTCCTACCAGTCCATCCCCCACAGTTATTAACTTTTGTACCACCAGCCCCTCCTTCTTAGATTGTAAGCTCCAAGGAACAGGGACCTCCTAACCCTCTTGTATTTAACTTTTTTGTTGCAGTATTGTCTCCGGTTTTATTGTAAAGCGCTGAGCACACTGTTGGCGCTATATAAATCCTGTATAATAATAATCTCATGGCACATTTGTGTGATTGATAAATTGAGAATATAAAAATATATAAAAGACTAAAATATGTAGTGTGTCCAGGGTATTTGACTCCCAGGGCAGATAGGTTTTCTTTTTTTTTTAACACTCCCCAGTTTTTTTTTTTCAGTAACAATCATCAATTGAAACAAACCCTAATGGCCAGAAAAGAAATGCCAATGGAGAAAAATTGTAGTGTTCCTTACATTGTTGATCAGTGGAAAAGTGCCTTTTTTATGTTGTTGGTTGGTGTAGTGGTGCCATACTTTGGTGGCCAATGGGAAAGGGACCCTTATATATGGGTAAATGGGAGGACACTCTGACATTGTTGACCAGTAAAAAAATGCCCTCCCCCTACACAGCTGAATCTATAATTAATATTGGTGGTTACTCTTCATCAGTCAAGCAACCCATAGCAACCCCTGGAGGAACCTTGGAACCTGGAACCCTGGTTAAGAAACCCCGATCTAAAGGAAAATGGAGAATTGTTGAACCCCCTGTCAGGATTTTTTTTTGATTTTCTATGTCTTTGTGGGGAAGATTTACCCCCTGCATTAGTCCTGGTGACCATAGTCCCAGGGAGAGAAAGTGATCACTGCACATTCAGTTAACCTCTCACCCACCTATTTTAATACTGCTACATGGCGGCAGGGCTGCGCAAAATCACGTATATATATGTGATTTGAATTTCTGGGTAGGGGGCGCAAGCACCGCCCTGCTTGCACCGCCATTGGCGGCTAGGAATGTCAATCACTGAGTCCTGGCCAGAAATTCCCCGCCTCCACCCAACGATTGTTGGAGGAAGCTAACAGGGGAGAGACCTGTGTAGAAACAACACACTGGCCTCTCTCCTGCCAGCAAGGACATGCTGCTTTGTATTTCTCTGCAC